AGATTAAAACATATGGACTGAATTAAGCAACATGACAAGATATTCGCAGTTTCATTTACATTTCCCCCTTCATTAGTTTACTCACTTAGATTCCGTCGTATTGAATTCCGTCAAAGATCTGTCAGTATTATTGACAACATTAGTTGATGTGTCGCCATTAGATGAAGAGAAGTCCATCTCACTGAAAGAGAGATTGCCCGTACTCGAGGTTATGGCGAAGAGCTCCATTCTGTAACAAATCGACGAGAGTTATTTTGCACACTACATCTTGTAAATACGGTACATAAGTGTAAAATGTGTCTTTCCCTAAATCCCGAATCCTTGAGTTAGACGTAAACACACGTACACACACAAGTAGTGATGCATAAAATTCATTATTTCAAAATGCATTACATGTACGATGATAACTAGCTTGAATGGATTGAAAATGACACACACGCACCCTCTATTAAATACTGCGTGATAAACCTCTCTTGATCAAGATTTAGACAGTCTCACTTACAGTCTTCCTTTCCAAAGTTCATGACTATAGGACAATATGTTCAGCCTACTCGTGGCTGAACAAATAAAAAACAACTTTAGTTTAAAACTGAGGGGCAGGTACAAACAAATAAACCAAATCAACAGATTCGGGTAATTCACTGCATGTACCCATATTTGGCTCAGCAATTACGTTAATCTGTGACACACAAGCAGCTATTTCCTCACACATTTTCCACGTGGATGGATGACAATAGCCTGTCGATATATGCATATGTTAATTATTCTAAATATAAATATATTATACATTATATATTTGTTGTATATCAAAACGCACTGACCTCACTTGCCAGTCTCATAAAAAGAAGGTGAAACCAGGCGAAAAATGGCGTCCAGACGAAATGGAAATTCCAACTCATGATAAGATTGAGACAGGTGGAAGAAGGGAAATCCCCCATGGACACTAAAGATAAAAATTGTATTCAACAGCTTTCCAGCAAATACCATCAAATATAAACTGCCTTGTAGTTGTTTTCATTGCTAACTCGATACAGCTTTAGGCCTACTATTGAAAATTGCGTAAACCACTCTCTTTGCAGAGAACAGGCAGTGCACAAGCTTACCTTGTAATTGATCTGAGACGCGTTTCTTCCTGGTCGTGGGGCAGCAAAAGGCGGTGGGGACGGGGAATCCCCGAAAATTCAGTTGATGCAATTCCGGTTCCTCTGAGGGCCTTGAAATCATTCTTTTCGATGGCGTTTGTTGACAGTGGAAAGTGCTTTTTTGTAACTGTAAACCCCGATCATAACCTTTGCCGTACGTACTAATTTGCCTATTCATAAAAGATAAAAGATCAGCGTACACTGGCAAAGAAACTGAACGCAGATCGAACTGACGTTCATATTTAATACGTACTCTATACATGTACGCTGGTGCGATAACTTTTATTCTCAACACGGCCTTGTACATGTCAAACACGCTAGACTGGTATAATCTGAACATATATATAATCTTTTTAATAACGCGCTGGAGTGAATCATTTACAATTCTTGAAACAGAAGCATTATTTAACTGGATTCGCCTTTATTTTTTTCTACAAAATATATGCTATTGGGTGACCCATAGATTCACAGCCGCTACAACCTCTTCAAATCCTAAGCGTCAATCCATTTTCAAAGAAAGAGAAACAAACTCACAAAACGTTCTTTCATGCAACAATTAAGAAAGTTGCATTTATTTCTATGAACATTTTACATGCACTAAGTACATGCTATCGACCACGAAATAAAATATGACAATCAATTTCAAAAAGACAAAACACAATTCTTTGAATGAATTTGGGTACAAAACAAATCGAATGATTAAATCAACTTTTGAAAATATTATTACTAGTAAGACCTATTATAGAGAAACTGATCTCTTTTTAAAATAGAATGTTTGATGTGTCATAATTTCAAATATACTGTCTGTGCACTACAATGACCTGATTTAAAAATAATATTGATAACTTCCAACACAATTTAATTAAAACATGCAATTAAAAGAAAACTTGGGGTAAATCCACTTGTTGAGGTATCAGATATCATTGAATATCATAATATAACAAGACTAGATAAGGCACATACAGACATTAACAGCTACATGTTGGATGAATCAAACAATTCTCAACTAAATCAGTTAACCCCTCCCCCTGCCCACAAGCATACTTAAATAGCTCATATGCATAATTAAGAGAAATGTTAAGTTTTTCCTTCTGTCCATCCTACAGTGAAACTCAACCATCACTCACTTGAGCTTTAAATTAGAAAATGCTGTTTTAATTCTGGTTTTCAGCCACTCACCTGGCTTACCAATCTAAAGAATAACTTAATTAATTAATTAAATAAATAAATAAATAAACAAATAAATAAAAATCCCTTGAACTAATCACAAAAAATGGCATTCTTTAACTAATTACATGTCCCAAAAAATCTTCCTGTCTAGAAAAGTTTAAGATTAAAAAATTAAAATGAACACTGGGTTAAATGAGTTAAGATGTGAGATAACATTCTGCCCTTCTCTAAGTTGTGAGTTTTTGAGTAAACAATGAAACTTGGCATAAGCAGCACAGGTTATCTACATACATTGAAATATTCCCAATTTAGAGTTAAAGGGATAATAACTCTTCGTTTCAACCAAAAAATGAATTTTCCTGGAGTAAACAACAATTTTCCCATACTAACCAATGGTTAATGAATCCATTTTTATATTCAAAGTTAGTCCCTGTTTTTTTCTAAAAAGTTTGGTTTTTTGTTAAAATCTCTTAAGAGATTTTAACAAAAATCTCTTAAGAGATTTTAACAGAGTATAGCCATCAATGGAGGTCACGTGGTCTAAAGACAAGCTCAGATATCAGAATAATAGCTATAACTGCTGTTCTTGTGGTAAAACAGAATATATTATATTTCTATGAGTTATTCACAATGTTTTTATTGTGAAATATAGATCTCATACGAAGAGTTATTATCCCTTTAAGGTCCACCTCATTAAGCATTCTATCTCCACCTTCAGGGATGAAGTACAACATATGTTATTTATAATAATCAACATAGAATATGATCATATAACGAGGAAAATGAGGTCAGATAAAACAATAATTGACCAATGACATCATCACTAAACATATCCTGATCAATGATGTAATTGATTTTTTTACCAATCAGAGAAATTGAAAAACATGCAATCATTCAAATGACAACAATATTTGCTGACAATGGTCTTGAAACTTTTGATGCTATCTTGGTATAATTCAGTTGAATAATAAAATAATAAAAAATAATAATATAATAATAAAATAATCAGACCCCAGCCAACGCTAATAACTGAATACTAAGTTAGTTATAAATGACTCTTTTTTTTTTTCAATTCTTAATTTTTCACACATCCAAAACAAACTACATCAAACCAAGTTTTATAAAAAATAACTTATTTCTCTCTCTTTTGGCATTGCTGTTTCATTATGGCATAATCTTTTTCACAGTGCTTACTTAATTTTTTGGGGTGCAAGAAACTTTTGTTTCTGAACTAAATAAAAACCTGTGTAAACAATTCAGTCAGTATAGCTCAATACCCCACTTTCCTTTCAGAAAAATAAATATTTTAAAGGGATTTAATTTAATTAAAAAAAAGGGGTGGGGAATTTTTATCCATTTATACAATGGCAAAATGTCGCTATAACTAGCTATTCTTTTCAATCAGTATCCATAAATCTCCACAAATTACTTCAGCAAACTAAAAATTTTATAACACACGAGTGTTCTGTACTAAACTGATATGCAAGTAGGTAAATTAAGTAGAGGACAACAGTCTAATGGTGTGTATGCCATGAACGTCCCCAAAATTAATGAAAAATAATAATTTTCAGCAATATCTGTCCGGAACTTAAACACACATCAGTTTACAGCTGATACATGACACAATTTGCCTTTCCAAACACACACCCTATAAATGTAACTTTAAAATTATCAATGGAAATTTAAAATTGAAAAAAAAAGAAAAAATTAAAAACCAGACATCTTGAAGATGAATGAAATAGAGGATCTTTGTGGATCCTGATGGCCACCAACCTGTTATACCTAATATGATCTTAATCAAGAAAAATATGATAATTCTCCCCTCTTAAAATACTGCACATGATCCTTATCTTTTGGGTCAAGCCTAGAATATTAGAGTACTTTGTACTATAGGAGATACCTTAAATTTTACCATTGGAAGGTAGTTAAAGCAATTACTTTTTGAAGTTGCTCATTTTGAACTTACTAACTAAAGACTACAAAGTACAAGTATATGGGCAATGCTATATCTTGTACCATGATTAAAAACTCAACCTACCTACCTACCTATCCTATACCATGATTAAAAAATCTCAAAACTTCAAAAATGTCCCTTGTGACTAACCATTGTTTAACGTACTGAGTATGGTTTTAAAAACAGCACTTTATACTGTCACTAGCACGTACATCACATGTACCTTCTACACTACTTTATTTCTCTTCGTTCTTTTATTAATAAACCAGCCAAGCTGTCCTCCCTCTGCTGCTCATTGTCCTGCAGCACTGTTTTGTCCTCCCCTCGCCTCTTTTCTCTCCTTCTTTCCATCATCAGCGTTCCTGTGCAGCATGTAGACCCCAGCAGCCAGTCCGCCTATGTTGATCCACAGTACAATGCCTCGGTGCCACAGGTGACTAACTGCCTGCATGGCCTGGGGGTGGACGAGCAAGACTTGATTACTTATATTAATTATTATATCGCTCACACATATGCAACAGGCCTTTCCATCTCTCTAACACACACACACTCACACACACAAAAAATAATAAAAAAATAAAAATGAAAAAAAATACATAGTAATTAAAACATAATAAAAAAAATTAATTAAGCTCATGCATTCGTTACTTTGCAACAGATCTTGTCTTCATAGATGAAAATTATCAAACACAAGCCAAAAAACTTTCACATCGTTAGCTTACGGCCAACCTGGATGTAGGCCTTCATCAGACTGATGTGAGCAATGTCATTTATAAGAGGTTCCTGGTCACTATACCACCTAGCAGTCAGTGAGTGTCACACACGCACACACACACACACTCACACACAGTTACACACACACACACACACACACCTTGGCAATGCTCCTCCTGTCGTGTGTGAGCAGACAGGCTCTCCCAGTCTTAGGTTTGCACACTCTGGCCATCTCAGTTAATGCTTTAGGGTACAGTACTCTGTTGTCCATGGTGGAGCCCAGTCTGAAGTGGAAATAACTGATGTTTATAAATACATATAATTTTTGATGCAGAAGTGCAGCACAGCAATTATTCACCACTCTGTATATAGTGGTTCCCCACTGCCCCAGCTACCGTTAATTGTTACATATAAGCAAACAAAGCATGTGGTATATAGGGTGTAGCTGACAAAATGTAAAACAGTATTCACTGTCTTGTTCTTGCATTAGCATATCATACTTACTGCATCATAGCTGCTTTTAAATTTTTTCTTTTTAGACAAATATTGTAATTTATTTTTTTCTGTGAAAGCAAATACCCAGTTAAGTCAAAACTGATATTGGAACTCTAATGCAATCTTACTCACAAATTATTATCTTACCTTTTACCAAATGGCTGAAATGAGGAAAGAAAATTCCATTATTAATATCCAGTTTATAACATAACATGTATAGTTTTTATAATAATTACAACAACAGTGCATTTTGCTTTAATCAGTGTAGATCTGGTTAGAATCTTACTGGATAATCAACATACAGTATAGAGTCATTTACACTGAACAAAAAATGTAAAAGTAGAACTGAAAAAAATTAAAAAAAGGTGCCATAGTGGCTGACTTAAAGACACTGCTAAACAAGTGGGTTTTCAAAGGAGAAAATATAAATAAATCACAACTGACACAAAACATTTTCACAACATGACCAATCCTCGCTGTAATTTCATGATTTAAAACAGTATGACTTGCAACTGTAATAAATGAATAAATGATAAATTAAATTAAACAAGAACCAACTTACCAAGTCCGTAATAAAGACGTCCACTGTGTTATCTCGTAGAGGTAGGTTAGTCACGTCCCACTTCATCACATCACAAGTAGCTGACGACCTGATTTTAAAATCTTTAGTTAATAATATAATTTTTTTTTTATTTCCCCTTGCTCATTAATACTGAAAAGTAAGTTCATGTAAAAATTTTTTATTTGGTTTTCAGCCTTATGCACCTGTATAGACATGGAGTAGGTAGGTAACAGGTAATTAAAAATCCAGAAAATTAATATATTTCAGGTGGTTACAACTGGAACTTATTACAGAGAAAACTAGAAAACACTGCCTAGCTTTTTCTTCTAATGCTGAGTTTAAACACACAAGTTTCAACTTTCCAAAAAGGTTCTGAAAAGATCGGCCACACAGCATGCCACTTCCTCGTGATTGATTAAAAATACAATAAAGGTGAAATTTAAATTTGTAAATATACTTTACCTTCCTTTCACTCTCCTCTTCTCACGGACAAAGTCCAGGTTCTGCTGACATCTAGGCCAGGCCTTCTCATGGTTGTCACCACATATATGATACGCATTGGGCCAGTTTACAGCACCCTGAAGGACAAGATAATATAGATGTCACCACATATATGATACGCACTGGGCCAGTTTACAGCACCCTGAAGGACAAGATAATATAGATGTCACCACATATATGATACGCATTGGGCCAGTTTACAGCACCCTGAAGGACAAGATAATATAGATGTCACCACATATATGGTA